AGAAAATATTTTTGTATATTTAAATAATATAAAAAAAAAAAAAAAAAAAAAAAAAAAAAAAAAAAAAAAAAAAAAAAAAATAAGTGTCTAAAGGCTTTATAACAAATGTCGAAACATTAATATCGGTTCTGGGCTTCAAAATATAAATGTCTCACTCTGCTTATGAGATTACAAAATATTTTATTATTGCGAGAAATTATAGTAGAGTGACAATCTCGAAACTCATTAAGAATAGAAAACCAGTTTTAAATTCACCACTTTACAAACGATTATTCAAGAGGAATCGCTGGGATATAACGAGCGTTCAATTAATTCAAAGAATATTGAAATAAAATAGCGGTGTGTTGGTAATAAAATTATTACTAATGAATTAAACGATTTAGCTGTAGTTCGTTAATCATTAACTAACTACGCGAAAACTTATTATCAGAAATAGAAAATTATAATGCTGGGCGAACGGATACGTAAAATGAGGTCGTCAATATCTTGGCGGAAATCGTAACAGCTCAGCTCGCAAATAAATTACCGTGCAAAAAGAGCAAACAAATAAGTAGAATAATATATATTATAATGTAGTAATAACAATTATGCATCGACAAAAAATCGACTCGCCTTTTTGCATTTCTAATAATAGGTATTTTGAGTATTATTATCTCGCTAAGTTTGCAATTTAGCCCGACACACGCATTACCTCGATATAATTAATCGAAATATATGGGAAGGATGCGTTAAAAATCAATTTGCAAGAGAAAATAATTATTGAACGATAGACGACCAACTATGGGATCGATCCCGTCTGACGGGATAAAATTTCTATAGATAGTAGAAACGAAGTAAAGTCGTAATTCTCGAGGAAGGAATAAATTTGAAAGTGAAGCGTGCGTTCTCGAGTCTAATAAAACTTTCCAACCTCCATAGGCAAGAGAGGCGCTATCGTGAACAAGTAAGTCCCTAAGAGTTACTTTTGCACGCGCGAGCGGACGCACATCACGCAGCGAACGGCCAGGCAAATACGTAGAAACGCGCGGCTGAACACGCGCGCACGAAACACGCAGGTACGCGCGCACGCACATAAGTGTAAATATATATATATATATAT